GCCGTGATGTGAACGAGGTGTGGAACAGCTCTGTGCACGTGACTACAGAGAGGCGTTAAACGTGTAACAAACACCTGTCTGTGCACGACCGTCTGCAGGTCGATTAAACAGAGCTGTTAACGGGGGCGACATCGCCGTCACAGGACTGATTGTACAAGAGGCTGGGAGCCCATAAGCAGCGCCATCGCCTCGGGCTGGAGTTGTTTTCAGAGGTGGCGTCACTAAAGCGTTTGACCACTAGGTGTCGCCCTTGCCTGGAGAGTTGGCAGTTGTGAGAATCGGAGCCGACTTCTTGGTTAAAGGCTATGGGATATACATATGTATACAGTGTAAGCTGCTTTAAATAGAAGTGTGAGCCAGATAAATTAGTGGATGTGCTTGCCAGTGTGTCGATTTGATCTCTTTCTTGAAAGATCCCAGGGATTCTGGCTTAACAACATGGCTGGGCAGCTTGTTCCAGACCCCTGCCACCCTTTGTGTAAAGAAGTACCTTCTGTTTACTCACGGTTGCTCCGATGACATTCACTCAGCAGATTACAATCAGTGCAATCAGTGCTTTTCCCCTGCTGTTGTTTGAGGCAGCCCCCGGCCTTGTTAATCATTGTTGGTTATCTGCAGTTAAAGGCCAGTTGTTGCGGTTTTCCTAGCCTGTGGCCGTCAGTCCTGCAGTCTGGTGGGAGTTCAGGGTTTGTGCCCTCGGGCTGCAGGCGGTCAGCTGACAGGAGACCGAATTTTTGAAGAGGGCTGATGGTGTCGGCAGAAATAACAGTGTGCCACCTCCCCTGCTCTCTGGGCGTCACGCTGCGCGATCAGCCTGCCAGCGATGGAGGGACGGAGCTCCACTCCCCCTCCCGTCGGCGCGCCTGAATAACGCGGTGGCGCTATGGGCTGGGACAGGGTCATGGCTTCGCCAGCCTCTCGAATTGCTCACGGACCCCAGAGTCTATGTCCTTGGTGCGCGGCACACCCCAGCGTGTGAGGGTTTCCGTTCCGCTTGTGCTTTTAGCGATCGCGTTCGAACTCCTAAACCATCAAATAGAAGACGTTTACAGCACAGGATTAGCGCATCTCTTCACCTGCCTCTGATGCACTGCAGCCATGCTCTTCCCAGAGCTCTCCGGCTGTGGGGGGTTTAAAGAGATCTGGAAAGCCCGGAAGGCCGCAGTTGAGCACTTGTGGATCAGGGATCAGGGACCGGACGCCTGGTGGCAGGTGCTCACACCGTGTCCGTGTCTGCTCCCCTCTCTCCTTCCACCCCGTCAGTCCGGCTCGGGCTCAGCCTCCGGGAGAACTCTTTCCGGAGCTCTCCGGCTGTCACCGGTCCTACTGTCCAGCCTTGGAGCTGAGCTTCCCTGTTGCTCTTCCGACCCGCGCTCTCCGAGCGGAGCAGGCTGTG